ATGATCTAAAAATTTAATTTAGAAACTAGGCAGAAATTAATTTTGGAAAGTGAGCGCAAATGATGACTTAAAACGTGCATACATAAATAGTATGCATTTAATTAAAAAAAAACTTCCCGTAAGGATACATTTTCGATGAGGACTAGACGAACGCATTTTTTATTTTTGAAGTGAAACTTCTTTAGCGACGGTTGGGAGTAAATTGGCAAATTCATCGGAAATAATGCACACGGATATGGTTGCAACGGAAACAAGTGCTTCTTAAATGTATGCACATGGCATTAACTTAACAAAAACCTGGTAATAAACCGTTTAAGAATAAGATCTAGATTAAGACTGATAATAATAATAATAAATTGGGTCTTACACATATGTTACTGTTGTGGCGTGCACCTTGATATTGTCACACAAAGCGGAGGGACCTACAGTTTTACCTCGCCTCCGAACGGCGATTGTATTTTTATGAGAAGCATGGTAGAAATACACTCGGAAGTTTGCCATTGCCTGTCGAGGGACGAACGCTGTTAAANCTCCGAACGGCGATTGTATTTTTATGAGAAGCATGGTAGAAATACACTCGGAAGTTTGCCATTGCCTGTCGAGGGACGAACGCTGTTAAAAAAAACCCTTTTTCTAAATTTTTTGCGATGTTGCTTTGACCAGGGCTTGAACCCAGGTGCTGGTGAGTGAAAGCGCGCACTGCTTACCACTACATCACAGCGGCCGATTAAGACTAATACAAGAATGAAAATAAAGGTTAGTACGTACGTTAGGGTGGTCCAGAAATGCATGGGAAAAAGTAAAGTTGGAATTTTTATGCTCTCACCCCCTAGGATTGTTCTATAACGAAAATTTTACCCTTATTTTTTATTTTGAAATCAAAAAATATTTTGAGTTCGCTCAACTTTTCGTAGAAATGGTATAGAATAGTTAAAAATCGATATTTTTCCACCAGAAAACTCTGTTTATCTGCAGGATATTCCCAATAATAATACCCAATTGTTTATTTGACCATTTCTTCATCGCAACTATAATTTATAGGTCCGCCAAAAACACACAAATACCCCGAAAAATGCAATGGGGCGACCAATAAAAAAATCGTTAGGTTTAAAAAATGGCCAAATAAACAATATTGTTATTGAAAATCTCTTGAAGAGAACCAGAGTTTTCCGACCGAAAAATACTAATTTTCAAGAATGCTATACCATTTCAACGAAAAATTTTATTTTCCCCATATAAAATGACATGGAAAACTTAGAGAGCTTTGAGCGACCTCTAAATATTTTTTGTTTCAAAATAAAAAATAGGGTTATACTTTTTTCGACATAAAACAATCCTAGGAGGTGAGAGCATTACAGTTTCGACTTTACTATAAATATGAAGAAAAAAATTATAAATATTGTTATCCGTATAATAATCGGTATTTTTTAATTTAATTGGTTTTGAAATTGTTATATTTTGGCATGTGTTTATCGATATTGTGATCACATTACACGACATCACATCACATTAAATCCCATGATATGGTATCACATAATACGGCACAGTGGCCAATTTTAGGAAAGCCTTGCCAAAAGTCTAAAAAAATTGGTAAATTCGTATGCATAACCATGCAGTATTGTCAAGAGGGCTTTACTGCGTACCGTTATGAGACAAGAAGTCGATTCTCTTTAGGTATTTAGTGTGACAGGAGATCGAAGTGACTGATGCTAGCAATTCGCTCTCAACTTTTCGTAAACTAGAGTTCGTCACCACACCTGTTTATAGTTTGGAATTAAATAATTAAATTTGTACATAATCGTGGTACAAAGCTCAATAACAATATTAAAATAAAAATGTAATTAAGCCGCAATAACATTGGCAGATTAAATTCTGAAACTTTAACGTTATAAATACGGGTTCATTGGTAATATAATAACAAGGATAAAAGGAAAAAAAAGAAATTTCACTTCAGTCGCGCGTAGCATCCACACACTACTTTTTTCGATTGCCCACCGAGTCCAAAGTAGCAAGAGATATTCCTCGTATGATGTAATTACCGAGTGCCACTTAAGTGTTCTCTAAATTTCAGGAACCGAATATAACAGTTATTGATGAAAACTGTCATTGAAAACTTCGCTATAAAGGAAATGTTCTACAGCTAAGTGACACATACCATTCGATTTATTTTTTCACCGAGAATCAAATTTGAAAATAAAATTTTATTTGTAATTTTTAAGCAAAATTAAAAAAACAACAATTATTTTTGATGATATTTTTGATGAAAGTAACTATTATTTTTGATCTGCAGATAACAGATATTTTTGTTTTTAATATTATATGTCTTAGACAACATTTATTGAAGGCTTTTATTTATAAAAGTCATCAATAGAAATCAGTCACTGTGTTTTTAAGTCATACACATAAAAGTCATTATCATTCTTCGCAGTTAAGGTGTTGGATAACTTTAAACTTTACCACTCATACAAATGACTTTTATAAGTATGATTTCAAAAATAAAAGTTCGTGACTGATTTATATTGATGATTTTTAAAAGTAAAAGTCATTGACTGATTTTTATTTATGACTTTTATTAATAAAAGCCTTCAATATCTGTTATCTAAGACAAATAATTTAAAATTACAAAATAACTGTTATATGCAGATTATTACACAAAAATAAAAACAAATGTTATTTTGGATTTATAAAATATATATGTTGTTTAAGGAATAATTTAAAAAAAATCAAAAAATAGTTGCCAAAGAGCCCCATTTAATATCATATCATTAACAACGAGCATCTCACTCTCAACTGATAGATATATTCACATTCAAAAATAATTTTTCTTCTTTCAATTTATACATATATACTTTTTCTATACTTACTTTAATCTTATTTAACCTTTGTTTTTCAGAATACAACAAATACGATCCACTCAAAGCCGAAATTCACAGCATTCATGAGCAACAGAACACCATATTGATATTGTTGATCGTCTTGCTTGCACTCATTGCTATAAGGTACATATACAAATGTGTACGTTGGTTCCGACGTAATCGCATCTTCACATCAATGCTAAAGAAGCTGCACAAGCAGCATGAAGCCGCCGGCGGTGGCACAAATGGCAAGGATATGGTAGTGGGAGCGACAATATCCAATGTGATGGCCATAAATGGTGATATGGAGCGAGCGCCATCGCAGATATTTAGTGTAACGGGTAAGTGAAAGAGGAAAGAGTTGCTAAAGGCAAAGAGTAAATTTAAATTAACACTTTTATTTGTAAAATCAAAATTAATGTTTCTTTTCTTAGGCGCTGAAGGATCGGTAATGACAATGACAACACCAGTCAGCACACGCTATCCGGCGGAGAATAGCACTACACCAACAACTGTGGTGACAGAGTATTCGTATGATAATCAAGCGCTTGCAGTGACGCCTGTTTCGGAGAAACCAAATGGTGGTGTGCACGCCTTTTGAACGAATTTGAGCATAAGTTTGGAGTTGGAGAGAGGAATATCTTGCGAAAAATAGTAAAGGTGAAAAATGAGCGAAAAACATATTTGGGAGATCTGTCGTAGAGAGGCGTGATGACCCTTAATTAAATGATATTATATATTGAATCATCAGTATAAAAATTGTGAAAGTATTACACGTCGGCCCAGCAAAGGAAGCTTTCACGACTACTTAAGCTAATTAGGCATTCGCTGCAGATCATCATTATATTGGCGCCGATCGTGTAAGAGATGATCAATCTTATGGAAGCAAATACTTTATACCTACCTCGCTTGATTGAGAATCTCAATGGGGAGGTTCGTTGTTTTGTTCGAGCCATTGTTTTGATTAAGCGGGGAAGCAATTTATGCGGCAAATACCGCGCAGTATTCGGGAGCGAAAATCTACATTTTCAATTTAGAAGTTTTAATAACCGTGTTCAAAGTATAAAAGAGCCTCAATTTAATGGATATTTCGAAACGTTAAGGTTCTTGGAGAATTCTTCTAGAATTTCAAAATTGAAAAATTGATTCTCTTGCTCCACCCTACTGTTCATTTTCTCACACCCTGTGCAAATATCAATAAAAAATTTCTATAAAAGCAGCTAAAAGCTAGTTACTTCGGCAAAAAAAATATTTAATATCTACAAGATTCAATTATTTATGAATCGCTTATGACTCGCATGTAAAGTACACCTGTGACGTCAATTATACACTCATGTACTTAAAATTAGTAATTTATTTAGCTGTAAACTAATGAGAAATCATTGGTGAATTGTTTGAATAAGCAACAAATACATCATTGAAGAAGATATTAGAGAGCAAATGTGAATTCTTAAAAAAAAAAATTTTTTAATCACCAAAAGTGCTGACGAATTGCGATTTAACAAAGTTGTAGGATTATTCAAAGATATTGATTGATTGAATCAATCACTGTAAAACATCACGTCCATTAAATAAGTGATATTTACCAATTTAAGTAGACTGTAAGTTATGCTTCCATATACAATAATACATAAACGTGTATGTACTTAAAGTTTATTGAATATTTGAATAAATTTGGTATGTAAATATTATATTGAAATACACACTGATATAAATAAAAAGCATATGTATATATATTTATGCGTAAAATATGTCCATATGAAATACTTAGATTCGATTTCTCTAAAAGTGTGTTTTGCTTACCTGTGATGCGAAATTCTTTATTATTTGTATGACTAATGGCTAGGCATAAAATTTCTAAATTTTGAATACATAAGCCTAATCATAAGCAATAATACCACATCGCCAGATTTGCGTAATAATAGCTTCAATCTATCGGAAAATCAAATATTTTGATTGTTATAAGAAAATCGCACTAATTTGCTTGGCAAATAATGAAAGGCATTGAGTGCTGTAGAAAGAAAAGAAAACAATTTGCTCTACTTACTGGCACGATGAACTGGAATAACCAACTATATTTTTAGCACTTTATAAACTCTAATAAACACATTTTAAATATATCTCACCCTAAATCAAAAACCGTCACAACTCAAAATTTTTCAAAATGGATTTTTTTTACACAAATCAGTTCACAGACTATATTTATTTAACGTACCCCAAAATATCTTCTTCTTTTTTCTTTAACCGAAAAAAATACTATTAAAATGGTTTTTGTTTAGCCTGCGTCGCACAGTGTTCTATTTTGGAAAAAATGGACAACACCAAATATGTATCTCCAGAAGAGATAGTATAACGAGAAGAGATAGCGAAATAGGTGAAACGGTATTTTAAGAATTTTGAAGTAGATAATGCAGGAAGAATATTTAGTATCGTTGGGTAAAATAATTACTTTGACCTTTAAGATGACGTTCAAATCGCAAGGTTTTATTTTGTTTTTACCTGAAACCAATATGCAATGAAAATTTTAAAAGTTTTAAGCCGATATTTTTGCTGTTGTGCTGCATACATTTTTCCATAGTCGTAATAACCGAAAAAGGCACTCACTTTTTTTTAAGTTCATTGCATGCTGTAGGTTGAAAAAAGCAAAAAAAAAAACAAAAATTTTGCTTTTGAAGGGCGGGTTTGTGGTCAAAGTAATTTTTCATTCAATCAGACCTTTAAATTGACCTTCAAAATAAAACCCTTATTTGTTCCGTTTTTTGCCTAAAATAGCTTGCAAATGGATTATTTGTCGCAATGGCAAAAAAATACAGTAGCTTATATACTTTGCTTCTCCTCTCGCTCTGGAAATACTTGATTTTGTAAAGTTTTTTTCCAAAATAGAACATCATGCCTCGCTCGCGCAGCATCAACAGTTTTTCGCCTCTGCTGATATTTTGAGTTGTGACTGTTTTTTATTTAGCGTGCGTATGTAGTATATATGTAACTTAGCTGGTACTAGAAAGTGCTGGTTTGTTGGTTTAACAACTTCAATTAGCACTTTTACGTGCTATTTTATAACCAGAGATGCGGCCCTTAATAAAGCTCAGATACATAAGAACCCCTTCTGGCTAGCTCGTCGGCCATCTCGTTGCCATGAATGCTGCTGTACACCGGCGCCCAGATCAGTTCAACGACATGCCTAACTATCAGCCAAAGCGGTAACGTACTCTGGGCATTATTTAATTACGCTGTATGCACCAGGGATGTTGCGAATGTGGATTTTTAGACATCCGCGGATGCGAATGCGGATGCGGATGTTTAAAAGCTAACATCCGCGGATGCGAATGCGAATGCGGATGTCAAATATTTTTAAGAAATGAATTTGGTGAGTACATTAGGGGATTCAGGTAAATAAAAAATTGAAAAGTTATTAATTTTTAATAATATTTTTTTATTTAGTACTTTGATTAAAAAAAATTGAACATTGTGTTTAAGAAAGAGTAATTTTGTGCCTTTTCGGATTACAGCCTGTTTGCTAACGGGTCGTAAATCAAACCTGCGCCACTAAATAATCACTCGCTCGAGGCGACATACTTGAAAAACTTGAAACTTGACAAAATTGTAAATTCTTTTCGATTGACGCTGCACCAGTTGAGAGAACTTTCAGTTATAATTTTTTTTATTGCGGTGCAACAATTCCATTTGGAAATTGCATCGGGGCAGCAAATGTCGGATGCATCCTCCTGACTTTCATCTTCACAATCTAGCATCATGGCAAGATCGTTGTTTAAACACCGTTATGTTCCAATTTGGAGCACCAATTCTTTTGGTTGTTTCAGAATTTGGAGAACCTGTTCCGTCATCAGCGTTTTTCGATTTTAGTTTTTGTAATTCATTTTTAATCCTGTCTTCTGTTATTGGTTTGAAAAATGTGCGCTTGTAGCGAGGTTCTAAATAGGTGGATATGGCAAATAAAATATTATTTTCTAGGAATGAAAATTTCGAAGGAAATTCTGAAAGTCGTTGCTGCCAGCAGAATTAGTTGAAAATCTTGTCATTTTGTTAAAAAAGGTACCGCATTTTTAATAACAATTTGAATTATGGAATCATGGACGATAAATGTCTCAGATTTGCTTAGTTCCCGGGTGACTTCTTGTAAAGGTTCTCCTGTAATGAATACTTTGTAATTAGTTTTTTTTTATTAGTTAGCTGAACTCGGCTTTTCCTAGTTGCAGGCAGTCNCTAGTTGCAGGCAGTCACAATTTATTACTCACCGCTGTCGGTACCATAAGCCATCAAATCCGTTTTGTTGTTCCATTCCATGCGCTCAATGTGTTTTGATACATTTTTTGAGGCGAATGAACGCAAATTTTCAACATTTGTATCGTTAATACTATTTCACATTGTCGATGAAATGCAAAAAAACACAACTAACTAAAACGATGTGGTGAGTTATGATTCGAGGAAATGCATCATAACACTGTGAGACAAATGGTAGGGGTCAGTGATCGGG